GGGGGAGAGGGAGAGGGAGAGGGAGAGGGAGAGGGAGAGGAACACCTTTGAATATAAACTTTTAAGATCTAGCGTAAGGGACTGGAGAAACTGCTCAGTGGTTAAGAGGACCAAAGTTCAGATCCCAGCACCTACATCACTCACAAATGCCTGGGACTCCAGCTCCCAGGAGCCACACCCTTTCTGGCCTCTGCTGGCACTTGCACACACAGGAGATTGACTTAGAACAGGTCGAAAATGCTGAAAAGCAATGCCACTCAAGCTGTGGTTCAGGGTGGGCCCATTCAATAACCAGAAAGTACAAACATAGAGTAAGATCGAAAAAACTTTACAACAATTTGAGAAAATAGCTGATAAGTCAGGCTTTAGCCAGATGATTTTAAAAACGTAGATTGTACTCTCTGTATCTCTCCCTCCCCCCTTAGTAATCAATGTCTTTATCAAATGGTGGTCAACGGCCGCCATTACCAAGTATGACACAGCAGAAACTTAAACACCGCCGACAAGCATCGCGTCAAAGCCGTCCCCTCGGGTTGCGCCTACCTTCCCACTGTCACAATACAGGAAGAGCTCAGCAAACATCTGTCTCCGCATGTCGCTTTTTACGATCTCCCGGAATTCTTCTGCACGGTGACAAAGGTGCTTAAGGAGTTCTTCAAAAACTTCACTTTTCAAGTCTGCAGCGTGTGAAGAGATGTACTGCAGAAAACGGTAGGAGAGATGATGAACTAAAACCATGTTCTTTGTTTGGGTTTTCCCAATGGTTTTCAGTCCACACGTATGAATGATATCAGCTGTAAAATGTGTCCGCATCGTTTGCTATCATTTAAAGAGTTTTCATGTAAGTGCCAATCTGTGGGCTTGCCTTGGTTCCCTCCTTATTGCCATGAAGAGATGCCATGAAATCAAACTTAAGAGAGAGAGCACAGAGCGAGACAGCCTTGATACTCTCAAAGTCCTTCTTCTGGTCTATTCCCAAAGCCATTGAATCACGAGCATTTTACTATCAGCCCTACTGAGTTGGTTTCTAGTTCTTGTAACTAACATGTAGTCAACAGGCTTGTGAAAATGTTCCATTTTAGTAATATGTCACTGAAAACAAATCATTTGTTTTAAATAGAACACGTCATGAGCACATTTAAAGTATTTTTATTTCAAATTTATTTTTATTTTATGTATATGATTTTTTCCTGCATGTGTGTATGTGTATGTTTACCACACGGATGCCTGGTACTTAGGAGGCCAGAAGAAGGCCTTGGGTCTCCTGAAATCGTGAGCCACCATGTGGAAACAGGATGAAAGTTCAGTTTTCTACAAGCGTAGCAAGTGCCTTAACCACTGGGCCATCTCTCCAACCCAACATGAGGACATATTTCAAGCTGATTGTTCAGCTTCTCATCATTAGCATATGGGCACATTTAGGATGCAGTATGTAAAAGACATGTTTGGGGCTGGAGAGATGGCTCAGGAGTTAAGCATTCTTGCTGCTTAATCATGAGGACCATAGTTAGAATCCCAGAGCCCATATCAGGTGGCTCACAAATGCCTGTAGCTCCAGTTCCAAGGGATCTGACAACCTCTTCTGATATCTGAGGGAACCCACACACACGTGTGTGTGTATATAGTCGTACACATGGAGACACTAGCACATATACATGTATACTTTTTAAAAAGATGTATTATACTTGTAGGCATGTAAATAAATTACAAACTATTACTTGAGTTGCAAAATAATGTTGCTTATTTGTTTGAAGGCAGGGTCTCATCTTCAGCCTGACCTCAGATTCTTATGTAGACAAGACCAGCCTTAAACTTCTGAACCTTCTGCCTCCACTTCCTGGCTGCAGAGATTACAGTTATGCCCTACCATGCCTGGATTCTGCTGTGCTGGGGGCATGGTAGGAACCATTCTACCATTTGTCACTGATTTGATGATGGATCAATGAGCACAGTTAAGTTTTTCTCTGTTAACTGGCAAAGCAGAATAGTATAATGGGTTAAAAATTTGTCTGGGGCCGGGTGGTGGTGGCACACGCCTTTAATCCCAGCACTTGGGAGGCAGAGACAGGCGGATCTCTGTGAGTTCGAGGCCAGCCTGGACTACAAGAGCTAGTTCCAGGACAGGAACCAAAAGCTATGGAGAAACCCTGTCTCGAAAAAAAAAAAAAAGTTTGTCTGGGTTCAAAGCCTGGTTTCCATGCTCTTTTGCTTACAAAAATGGTATCATAGTAGCGGTTATCTGAGGGACATGGTGAGGTCATAGGAATGTGTGCACTGTGTGCACAGAATCTGGGTATCCCATGTAATAACTTTATAGCCATTTCTCCTGTTTACTGCACAGTAGTTAAGAAATTGCTGAATAAGACACTCCTTCCAGTGGACAGAAAATATATTCTTAGAGGAGGAGAGCTGAATGAGATCAGTGATTTTCCCAGTGTGGCCCATACACCATCAACATCGCCTGAGAATATGTTGGGAACACAGTTTGGAGCTCTGCCCTTGAGTTACTGCATCAGAAACCTTGGGGTTGAAATCAATCTGTGTTTTAAGAAGCCCTTATAGGGGATATAGGTTTACTAAGGCCTGAGAACCACTGATCTGGATGATGTAGGCTAATTGACCCAATTAGTTCAGTATGCTAAGATCTTATGTTTAGTACTAATGACTCTTTTCTTGATTAGTAAACATTTTATAATTTACTCATATTGTATAATTATTACATAATTGGCATTTTTATATTGTGGATCAATCCTCTAATGATGAAGAAATATTTGTTCATAATAAAAATATCACATATTCTATCTAGCTTTTGGGAGTTAATGCTAAAGCCATGTGAATTTTGGGGGTACAGGGATTCAACTGAATCAAGAATTAGCTAAAAACCTTTCTCTGAAAGACACCAGGGATTCATGACCTATAGGTTTTCTTAGTGAGTATATTCTAACTGTGGAAGGTGTCGGTTATATAACAAAGATTACCAGTTATCCACCTAACTGAAGATTCAGTTCTAACGAGAACAATTACAGAAAGTTAACCATGTCTTAAAGAACAGGAGAAATGTGAAAATACATGGGAGCCTTTATGCCAAGGCTGTTTTTATACCCTTGCAAAGAATGAATCAAAACAAGTCTTTAGATTATTTTAGAACTTAATGACCTTCATTTTAAAAGCTCTGTGAGCTGCTTAGCATCTGAATTGCCCTTTGTCAAACCACCTCTCTGAGTCAGGACTAAAAAAAAAAATGGACTCTGTCTGGGTTTTTCTATTCTGATTTGATGTTGAGAACATGGCAAATGCCACATCTAATAGATTGGTAGCTGCTGTTAGGAGTCTATTGTGTTGGGCCATCAAGAATCATGCTTGTTTAATTATAGAAACAATGGAAGAGTTCACATAGTAGCTAACGTAGGAGCAATGGGAAGAAAACCATGTTTGGAAACTGATTAGCTGAGGTGCTAACTTCCAGATTGTATCTGTAAGCCTTGGTAGTTGTAAGCCTTTTCCGAGGAGTAGGCAAACAAGGTGTATAGATTATAGCATTAGAGACTGCACTTGTGAGCTAGCACTGAAGAAGAAGTATGTTTGTATAGAAAACGACCTATCCAGTTATCCAGTTTCAGAGAGAGAGTTTAGACAAGGACAATTATTGAGAGTTGGAGATACAGATCAGTGGTAGAACACTTGCTCATCACACACAAGGACATGTGTTTGATCCAAACACTGTGTACAAAACGGCAATGATGGCTAGTTCTGCATTTAGCTAAGCAATCCCTCTCTTGAACTCTTGTCTTTTAAAAACTCTTATCTAGCAAATGAATTAAACAAATGTCACATTTAATAACCAGTAAGTTAAAAAAAATGAAGAAAATATACAGTGTTGCCTCTTATTAGTGAAATATACCAGGTAATAACATGGACTCAGCGGTATTTCCCCCAAATTCCTGTTGCAGGCCTAATCTTTAGTAGCTCAGACTATGACTATATTGAGAGATAGAGTTTTTGAAGAGGTAATTAAATTAAAATGGGGCCTTTAGATGTTGGCCCTAATCTAGTAGGACTAATGTCCTTACATGAAGAAGAAACTTGAACCCACACAGCTGGATGGATATGTGAAAGCGTGAGGGATAATTAGTCATCTATAAGCCAAGGAGACCTATCATCACAAGGGTTAACTAGTCATCTATAAGCCAAGGAGACTGATAATCACAGGGCATAACTAGTCATCTAAAAACCAAGGAGGCCAATCACCACAAGGAATAATCTTCTACAAACCAAGGTGACTGATCATAACATAAACCAAATGTGACATTTGTCTCAGATTTCTAGCCTACAAGATCATCAAAAGTAAACTATTTCTTATTTAATCCACTCAGTCTGTGGTTCTCTGCCATGGCAACACTAGCAGAGTATTACAGGTGAGGAGGAACTGCTAATCAGTCAGTTCTGGTATGCATTTCTTACATAAGAAGACCATGTCCAGGAAGAGACACACTGACTTAAAGGCTCATTCACCCGTTCCTTCTCGTTTTTCTAGCATAGAATTCTCTCCCCTCATCCTAAGGTTTTGTATTTTCATTACATACTTTTTACTGGGAACCTCTCCCAAAGCCACCCAGCCTCCTTCTGTTCTACCATAAGATAATTCAGAGTATACGAGTGAAAGAAAACAAACAAAAATAAAGACATAAATGAACTAGAGGACTGACTGGAAGCCTTTGAGGTGTAAATGCTGCTGTGGCAGAAGTTTAAAGCTATAGTCTTTGGACACAGTTTATGAAGCCTTTCTCTTTAAACTTAACAGCCACATCAGTTGGAAGGCCTCAGACTTAAATGATTGACATTAAACAACCCCATAAAAAAGGGATCATCCAGAGATGATACCACTAAGAAGAGAACAAGACTCAAAGAAGAGAACACAAGCAGAGGCAAGCCCTTTTTACTCCTGGCTGAGGAAAGCATAGTTTCTCAGCTAAAGAATTGAAAATTAATATCAGAATTCCCTTACACAGTATCAATGTATATAATTAGCCTTAAGCTCATTATTTAATTCAGGAATGACCTCAGATTGTCTGAAGTCCAAACTTACTGAAGAATGATGTGGATGCCCCTTCGTATGCTGTGAACATGTTTTATTGCCATTGGTTAATAAAGAAGCTGATTTGGCCAGTGGTCAGGCAGAATAGAGCCAGGAAATCCAAACAGAGATAGAGGGAGAAAGAAGGCAGAGTCAGAGACACCAGCAGCTGCTGGGAAAGCAAGATGTAAGGTAACAAGCCACGAGCCTCGTGGTGAGACATAAAATAATAGAAATGGGTTATTTTAAGTTGTAAGAGCTAGTTAATAATAAGCCTGAGATAATAGGTCAAACAGTTTGTAATTAATTTTAAGCCTCAGAGTGGTTACTTGGGACCTGGCGGGCAGGAGAAACACCTCCGGTTTACAGAAGGATGCTCCTGAGAAACCAGCCTTTACGTTTATACAGTCTCACGCTAATCAGGAACACATTGGGCTGTTTTCATTTGCCTCTAGTGAGCAGTTAATGTGTGTGGCATCTCCTCAATAATCAGACGGGCTAAGAAGTCAGGAAATGATGCAAGTGTCGGAGAGCACACCAATGGCTTCACTTCTGCTGGGACTTCACTCTTTTTAACACTGGAAACCCCACATCCCATCAAACTCCCAGTCCCAGACAACCAGAA